GAATTATTATTATTATTATTATTATTACAGTTACATTAATTATATATACCACCATACCATATATTTTTTTTCTAGGTAAGTCAAACCAATTATTTCAAAATCACATATTTATTATGAATGTTTTTTAATCTTGATTAGCAGTAAGCACAATCTTGAAAACTAATCACATATTCATAATAATAAAACCCTATCATATGTCTCTATCTTTAGTTAAATCTACCATAAAACTATGCATAAATCAATCATCAGGCATCCATTTTTTCACCCCTTCATTTTTCCAATCTCTGGCCAAGAGGGGCATTACGTCTTCCTCTCCCGATGGAGCTCAAGCACATCTGTAACCAAGAACATGTGCAATGGAGAGAGAGATGAGAAATGACTCCCCTGACCGAAGAAGGAGGCAGGGTGAAAGAGGAGAGAAAGTGTTTTTCTGAGAATAAACTGGCGAGAATCATGCGGGAGTGTGAGTTGAATGTAAATCTCCCGAGACCTGCTTGCATGAACAGCTTCCAGGCACAGGCCCTATTGAGATACAGGTAGCTATTGAGTCATTCCTACTGCTGTAAATCAAACCATTGACAAAACGGCAGTCTGCAGGTGATCTCCAGAACTGATCTGGACATCATTCATCATTTGGATGCTTTCTGTGGTTTTTCTAGTGCGGCTTACATGCTTTCAAAGGCCACAAAAAAATTGGGAGATAGCTAATCTTTAATGATCACTTAAAATGTTCTTTGGGTGAACTTTACAGCCTGATTGGCTATCATATATAGTTAAAATTCCTACAATGAAAAAAAGATTTATTGGATTTACTACATTTTTTAAGGTAAGTCATTGCAAACTATTTATTCGGGCTGAATTTAAACAAACACATTAAGTTGGAACATTACTAAATTTAATTTGTTTAAATTTAGCCCATATAAATTGTTTTCAACAGTTTTCAGTGGTGTATGAACCATTTAAACTTCTAATAGACATGTTGATTGATATAGCTAACAATTTTAACCAAATTAAGAGCAATTTATCCATTTGTATCTATTTATACAGACAGTTTAGTAAGCAGATGGGTCGCAATCACTGTCCTCTGACCCCAATCTTGCCACTCTCACAAATGAACGCATCTATATCAGGGTGGATAACAGGCATTCAGCATTAACTCTCATTGTTTTCTTCAGACAGCTTGACCCCAAGGTCGGCAATACTAATCTATGGCGTTCAAACAGCCCTCTGTACAAAATGCCTAATGACGCATCTAAAACCATGGCTTTGTTGTGGAAATGGTGATATATTGGCTGTTAAGAGAAGTGCACTATAGTGATTTAGCATGAGCCTTGTTTGTGAGCTCGAACACTGGGAAGCACCCATACACTCTTGCATTCACACACTATACTACGGTCAATTCAGCTTGTTCAATTGACCTATACTGCATGTCTTTAGACTGTGGGGCACCCTGAGGAAACCCAAGCGAACACAATGAGAACTTGCAAACTTCACACAGAAATGCCAACTGACCCAGGCGGTGCTCGAACCAGTGACCTTCTTGCTGTGAGGCGGTTGTGGTACCCATTGTGATGCCCCCAATTGTCCAACTTAAAGATAGTATAAATAGACACATTGGTCAGTGTTTGTTTAGGGGGGTTATTATTATTATTGAGCATCTAAAAGTGAGAACCCATCAGGGGAGGCTAACATGATTCTGCATGTGAAGAGGATTCTCTGCGCAATTCAAATTGCCCAAGCTCCTTAGGAGGCTTGCCAACTGATGATGCAAATAGTCCCAAATAGACTGTTCAGTTCCTTTACTGCATAATCATAGTTTTCAATGTCAGGTTTACAGGGGTACAAGCATCTGCAGCCCAATCCTTGTGGAATTGCAAGCTTTGTCGACCTGACACTGGCGCAGCCATTCTTATTATCATGGAAGATGCAAATTGCTGCTAGTGTCACAGTATACAATTAGACTAAGCGCCAGAAATCTAAAGATATTTGCTGTGATTAGGTTGTAAAATATAGCCTAAGGTCCCCAGTGTACTTCAAGTTAAGTTCGTTTTCATTCTTCATGTGAGGGCAAAAATATGTTTGAAAAGGTTGAGTGACAGTGTTCTGATGGAATTTGGTTTTAAGCATATGTCATGCTGCTTGCTGTGTGTGTACCCCCTAAATACAACAACGATGGTGGCTGAAAGAGAAGAACAGTTTCATAAACATCTGGCAAACAGCTTTTTCAAGACAGTCACACACCGGATGAGAAGTACCACGACGGCACGCCACATTTTTATGTTGTTTTCTATTCGGCAAAAAACAGACAACAAATGAAGCCGCCGGTTTGCATACACTCATTGAAAACAGTGCTTTAAACTTTTTAAAGACATGGCGCGATGCAGCTTCTTGTTTGGTGTGTGACCCCTATGAGTCTTTAAAACCTGTGTATATATCTGTACTGAATCTGCTACTCCACTGTGTTGCTAACATGTTGTTGTTGTGTTGGATGTTGTTCTCCTGTTTGATCTCCACATATATGAGATACTAGGGATGGACCGTTACCAGTTTTGGAACCGATCCAATCTTGATACCAAAATTCTGAGTATCGACCGATACAGATCCGATCCCAATACTGTGTGTGTGTTTTTTTATACATAATACAGTTTCTTTAGTTCTTGTGATAAGCTCAAATATATCTTCTTTAGTTAAAATAACAGACCCATAGACCTACTGTATATGACAGATGACACAGTCTAACTAAAAACATGATGCTTGCTGTGAACTAGGCTACATTATTTGAGCATTCGTTATGACACTGATCTGTTGTGGTCCAGCTTATGATTCCTTTTTTAATATTAAGATTTTTCTTTAAAATCTGGAATAGGCTACCACTATTGACTCTCATCAATACACAAACTTTTCCTCTCTGTAAATAAAATATAATATAAATAAAATTACTGTGAAATATTCACAGTTTCAGAGTAACCAATATTGGGCTAAATAATTTTCTGTTAATGGCCATCCATATTGCGCCTGTCAGTTTCACTTTATTAATTTAATCCACTACTTTGACCACAATAAGCAAGGCTTTACAAACTATTCGCAGCACTGATGGTATTCACCTTGGAAGAATAAACTCAGTCGGAAGGATGAGAAAACAGAAACTTTATTACAGAATAATTTTACGGAGCACCGCATGTCGCGTCTGCGCAACTAGTGTGTGAACGAATCGCTTGATGCATCACTAAGACAGCACAAAGGGAAAAAATCAGTGCGTTGAGGATCTGTCCAATGTATTATTGAGCCTTTTCTTATTAAACACTTTAAGTAGGCCTACTTTGTGTGTGAAAACCAGGTGATAACCCTCTATACTCCAGTGTTGCAAATGCAATCTGCTGATCTAACAGACACAGGTGCACCATGATTTAGAAACACTAATTATCTGCTTGTTGCAGGTCAAAATGAACCCATTTAATGCAAAAATAAATGCATTTCTCCTGTGATTACTCATATTAATAGGAACAAATAGTCTTGGAGAAAGTTTTTCGAGTTGCCATGAACGCGACACGCAGTTCGAATTGTGAATTAATAAAGAATGATTGACAGTCGCAGAGATGAGAAGCGCTGAATTGAACATGAATTTAATAACTTGAATATTTATCTGTAATTAAGATTAAACTACAGAACAGCTTCAGAGCATTTAGGTTATAGTAGGTCTTCATGACAACTTTTTGGACCCTTATAATAGGCTACCTTTATGGCTTTTGTTGGCTTATAAATTACACAGAATATAGCTCACACGCAAGATTGGATTTGGATTGGTACCAGCTGGCCAATACCGGATCCAGTAAAAATATGCGGTATTACACCAATATCCAATCCAAGTATCGGGATCGGTCCATCCCTCATATGTCAAATAATTTCTAGAGCATTCCCAACCAATTGCATAACAAACCGTAGTGTCACAAAACGCACACCCCCAAAATTTTGCTTTGGTGAGCTGTATTAAATTGTCGAAACAAACTCTAAACACTTTTTTTCCAAAATGACATCATTTCATTTCATTCTTAAATTTAGTTTGAAGCATATTGGGGACTCAACTGAACCTTACATGTGTCTTAAGTGCTAATTTACATGTTTGTTTCTATTTATAAAACAAAAATGGTTAGACAAGTTATGTTATGTTTATTTGAGAGATCCAGATGAATACATCGCATGGTATTAATTTCTCTGCTCATCAAATGGCCAATAAACAAATGAATAACTCTGACCAAAAAAGCTAACATTAAAGAGGGAATGTCACAGCATGCCTGCTTTCAATGGTCCCTAAGCACTGCCACACAATCCTGGATGTCTGTGCTGATGATCAGTGACCAGCTAACCCAGCACTAATCAGAGCAGACAGCCTACAGTGAGAGATGCACGCTTATATTTATAGGCCTTCCTATTTGCCGCTTCGCACACTACGTTAGCTAAGTGGAGGAGGGGTAGGGATTACTGCAGTGTGGATTCTGAGCTTAGGATTCTTCTTTTAAAATGTTTCATGAAACTTTAAAGGCATTCATAGTAAACCTAATTCTAACCTATTTATTTGAAATTATTAGTTCCCTACTTGTGCCACAACTATTTTGCAATTCTACATTCTTACAGGCAAGAGAGTAGGATAACACATTGTAGGAGGCAGCTGAAAAAGAAAAAAAGTTTAATCACTTGCTCATTATAACACAAGCACTGCTTAAAGGAAGTAGCTATTGACAGAATCCTATAAAACAGCATTCACGAGTGAATCACATGGAAACAAACCCCTTAGCAGCTCATTATTAGGGCTGGGAACCAATAACTGGTTCTTATTCAGAACAGCGTGTCATACAGGGCAACCATTTTAGTCCAATTTGTGAAATACTTATGACTTGGGCCTTTGTTATAAACAGACTCAATAAATTCTTCATGATTATTCCATCCTTACTCACTATAGCAGTAAAGTTCAATATCGACTTATTTAAATCTCTGTTTTCTAGGGTCCCGGAGACAGCCATGGGTACAGCTTCAGAGAAGAGCCATCCAACCACCCCTAAACAACTCCCAAATCACCCTCTCTGCAATGCTGACCTCTTCCCGCAGTCAGTATGAGCTTGGAGGCTTTCCCTACCCACTCGCCATGGACAACAATTCAACAGGTGAGTTTACCCAAAAAAATAGGTCTCCTGTCCGTCTGGTCATTACTATTTCACTCCTACGTGCAATCTTTAACCATTGCAAAGAATGGCTTGCAACTATGGCCTCATTTTGTTACTGTCTGTCCTGATTCAGGAACCAACAGTAGCTGGGTGGAGCTAACTGCACTAGCTGCAATGTGCGCTCAGCTCACTGGGCCCAACGGCACTGAGGTTCAGGTGTCAGAACCCATTCACATCTCCATCCCACTTCCTTCTGACTCTCCTCTTAAGACTGCCACCAGTGTCCCAGTCTGGAGGTTTGAGGACAAGACAGGTAAACATTCAAATGCAACATTGAAACTTAGGTTAACCCAGTTGTTCTCAATTACGGTCTGAATCAGATCATCAACTTGTTAACTAGGAGATCTATGAACTTATTTTTGTGTGTCAAATAATGCAAATACAATGTTCAAAGCAGGGGGGCCCAAGCACCGGAATTGAGAACCACTGGGTTAACCCAAAGCTACATCAGTTTAGTGCCAGTGCTGCAGTGCTGCTCTTGGAGCATCACCATCCTGCAGACAGAGTTTACCTCCGATCCTAGTTAAACAACTTAACTAGTTAATTGAGGTCTTCAGGTTTACTGAAAAATTCCAGGTAAGTGTGTTGGGGCAGAGTCCTTACAGCAGCAGCAATGGACACATCTGTGACAGTTCATGCAAAATTAAGTCACAATAAGTGGACTCAGAGGAAGACACAGGGGCTTTTGGAATAAGGGGGTCGTAAATTGTTAAATAGAGAACAAGAGGCAGAGAGGAGGTACAGATGAGGCTAAGAATGAAACTGAAATCCTCAAGAATTATTTGAGAGTAATTTCATGAAGGGCCAGGTGAAGTAAGAACTGGTGAAGTGAGTGTGCAGCACAAATCAAAGAAAGCAAATAGGTCTTCATACATTGAAGAGATAATAGCCTGCCAATTCATAAACCAGAAATCATCTCCAGACACTGACCCTGTCATGACATAGTTCCCAAAACAGGTTGTGATTTAGTACCTGGCAAGCTTTGCAGAATTCTCTAGATTCTTTACTGATGCCAGCTTAATAAAGCGAACAGCTCTGGTAGAAAAATCAATATTTGACTAAAAGAGGGTATTCAGTCATTTTCCGGCTTTACATTCAGCTCTTAGTTTCTGTGGACTGTTCCTCATATAGTTGCAAATGTTACTTTTTATTCCAATGTCTGGACTGCTTATTAGGATCTCTCCTAAAGTGTGTTAAAAGATTACTTAACTCCACAGAGAAATCTCAAATGATTTTAAGCTAAGCAGCTTAGTCTATGGCAACCTAATCCCAGATCCCCCATTTACTCCCCCAGTGCAGAAGGCAAATGAATGATTGGTCAGGGAAGAGGAATACTTTGACAGATGCCCATCAAGGGGGACATATATAAATATATATTTATATATGGGCTGCCACTCTATTTTGGCCCCTTTACTGAAATCAAACTTTCCCACCTAAAATTGCAAATATTTATTTTTCGACATAAACTAATATTGGTGCATCAGACCTAAATTGCATGTAAGCATGCCTGATCTATAATAACCCAATGGCTCTCTGACACCTTTAACCCTATAGTCCGGTTGTCAAATTAACTGACAAGTAAAGGATGTCAAAGAATATTGTGTGTATCGCCCCCTAGAGGAATTTGTTTGATATGGAAGCACACAGTAGCTTGATGCATGCAGCTGATTAGTCTGTGCCAACAGTTACCAAAGTATCAGAAGTTTGTCTAAATTGAAAGGCTAGCAAGCTTTAGTAGAAGACAACCTGATTATTCATTGTGTTGGTAGTCAGAGAGACTGTTTCAGAGAAGAGTTAGTTATGCAGAACATGGACCTGTATTCTTGAATGGTGGGCAGTTTGTTTTTCACCATGTGATAGACGCATGTGCTCGAAAGCTACAGAAGACTTTATTGTTCAAGACTTGCTGCTCTGTAGACTGTAAAAATTTAGATGTTGAGAATACAGATGAGAAGGCGGCTGCATTCTCAAAGCACAACAAAGAGCCCTGACTCACTCTCTGAGTCGTATACACTAATGCAGCACCAGTATACATGATGTCATATATTGCTAAGTCCCAACCCTCTGGTTTTTCTAAAAAAGGGTGGGGACTGAATGCCCGAATGTATTCCGATTATGAAAACATTCATTGTCTTGCTGAAGATTCGCCATGTGGCTACTAAGGCCCTGTTTGTTTTGGAGACAGATCACAGACAAAACAGCCCATACAGAGCGAGCGGATGCTTATGCACATGGCTCTTGGAGGGGTTTATTATACTGGGAAAGCCCCCTGCTTTACAGCACTGTTCTCCCAGCTGAACTGAACATATAGCACCTTCTAGTGTGCATAATTACACATTGCACACAGCTGCCTGGCTCTGTTGAGTGCTCTAGTTAATGTTTGGTTCTTAGGTTGCTACTTTGAAGCTGAAAGTGCACAAGGGTGTGAAATCTGAAATTAAAAACAGCAGTATTTGATAGGCAATAAAAATATTGACAGTCCCACAAAACTATTTCATGTTGTTACTCTTTTAAAATAATTATAGTAAGAGGTCTATTTCAGTATGCTCTAGTTGTAAAGCCCAGCAAAGCGAGAGTATTTTGTCTTTAGGGGAGGGCGACATTTTAAAATTGTATTTGTCAGGGTTCACCCTGTCAGAACCTATTAACTCTCTGTGTTCTTTTGTCTTGCCTTGGGCTTTTTGGAGAATTTGTGCCCCTCGCTGTCCTGCTTTGGTGCTTTATATTCCATTATTGTGTGATTTTGATTATTGAATAGTAACCTAGACTGATCCTAGACCTAAAATGACTTTTTAATGAAGAAAAGCGATTGAATGTGCAATTTGGCACAGTTTGGGTCTAATCTGTCCCTGGCAAACTGCCCATTCACATTTAATTGAGCTTTTACTGTAAGCTGAAGCAAGATTTCATTGCATTTATCCATGTCTGTTCAATTTGTAATGACGTCCTGATCTGCTGCAGGTCTATGGGTCAGAAGTGGTGCAGGATACATTAAAAAAGAGGACACTCAAATGACATGGAGTTTTGTGGCTCCAAAGTTAGGATACTGGCTTGCAGCATTTCCGTCAACCTCAGGTGAGACCAGTTGCATTATAACACACATTTTAAAGATAAAGTTCATTTTTAGGATCAGCTTATTTCATTTTAAGGATCAGTAAAGATATATTACACAGACTGACATTTTCTTTATATAACATTACTGATCATTTATTGGTTAATTTATAATGCTTAAAAATGTGTGGAAAAAAATACCTATTTTCTATTATAGGATCTGGTCTGAACACTTCTGGACTAAGAGACATCACTACCTACCACACCATTTTCCTGCTGGCGATTCTGGGTGCCATGGCACTGCTAGTGCTTATTCTTTTGTGTTTGCTACTGTACTACTGCAGGTAAAAAATTTGTGTTTGTTTGTAGTGTGCTTACTGCACATATATTTGCTCTGTTTGTATGTCTGTTGTGTGTAAAGCTGATTAATAGTAGCTTATCCTATGCCTTAGTAATAAGTGAATAAACCCATATCATAGCAAGACAAAAAAAGACTTGATGAAAATTAATTTAAAAACATTTAATCGTGTTCAAAACTTATTTGAGTTTATAGTGTTAAACACAAAAGAAGATCTTTGGTACCCATTGACTTCCATGATCTTTTTTTCCCTACTATGAAAGTCGATGGGTCACAGCAACCAGCATTCATCAAAATATCTTCTTTTGTGTTGAGCTAAGCTTTAAAACCACTGACCTTTAATCAAATGAGCAAATTGAGCAAGACATCATACTTTTGTATTTGTCATTGGTATAATATCTAACAGGTAATGATTTGATTTTTCCAGGAGGCGATGTTTAAAACCTCGGCAGCATCGGCGTAAAATGCACCTATCATCCACTCTTGAGAGCTCAAAGAGAGACCAGGGCACATCCACTTCTCACCTCAACCTGATCAGTGGTGGACACATGGAGACAGCCTCCTCAACTGGTGATCTCAACAGCTCTCGAGATGACTTCTTTAAACATGGTCCCACCCAAAGACAACACAACTCCAGGACGAATGCTGACTCAAAACGAGGAGAGAGCTTCCCATTGAAAGCTACACGCTCTTCAAACACAGGAACTCGAGATCTGCTTCTTCAGGATGACTACGGCAAAGGTTACAGCTCTGCTGAGGACTCAGATGATCGCAAATACAATCACCATAATGCTAAAGACAACCAGGGCTATTCATCAGACCCACCATCTCCACCTCCACTTTTGCCACCATTTGCCGGCCACTACCAGGATCTCAATCGGGACAGCAAGCCTCCAGAGTATTATGCATCAGCAGGGGATCACCTCAATCGGCCCTCTTCGGTCAATACCCAGCCTGGCCAACTGATCTTCTGTCACTCAATGGAGCAGATGAAAGAGAGCATGTACCACAGCATGGTACCCACATTGGTCATCCCTGCACATTACATGCATCTGTCCTCTGACTTGACAGCTGTGGAGCAGGCAATGGAACGGCAACAACAGCTGCAGCACGATATGGAGGGCATCCAGGTTAGTATGACTCTACCAAGGCAGCAGAATCAAAAGCAACAACAGCAGCAGGCCAGGGCTGATAATGAAGAGGAAGAGTCAGGCAAACAAGCAGATGGATCTTCGGAGGAGAACTGGGGATCAGACCAATCCAGTGCCCCAGTACGTATTCCAGTGCTTTTCAATGATTCAACCATTGCTCAAATGAATGGAGAGCTGCAAGCGATGACAGAGAAGAAGTTGCTGGAGCTTGGGGTGAAGCCACACCCTCGTGCCTGGTTCGTTTCCCTTGATGGCCGTTCAAACTCTCTTGTTAGACACTCCTACATTGAGCTGAGCAATGAAGCCTTGCGTCCACCCATGGGCGCCTGCAATCAAACACTAGACCAGCGTACTGAAGCAATCCCCACGAATTCAGGGAAACCTTCCCACCGAAAATTAAAAGAGGATGGCAAGGTAAAGGAGGGAGGTGAAAGAAAAGCTCATGGTAAAATTTATTCCAAGCTTCCCGTTATTGAAACTCCAGACTCAAGCAGCGAGAGCCATTCAGCCATGTACTCACCTGAGGAGAACTCAACAGCGCCGCTACTTGATGAAACTGCAGAGGTGTCCAAAGGTGGGACGTTCCCGCGTAAAGGCCGCAGCCGAGACAACAGCACCCGTAGTAGTGCCAGTGAGGTCCACCGAGACTCAGTCACCAGTCCTGATGACGATAATGATGACAAAGATGATGACGGAGAGAATAAGAAGAGCCCCTGGCAAAAGCGTGAAGAAAGACCCCTCATGGTGTTTAATGTCAAGTAATGCTGCCCAGGACTGGTTAGGGCATCGTCTTGGCTGTACCCTTCTTTTGCATAGATACTCACTAGTGATGAGGTGTGAGGATACAGAGCTGGAAGAAAGTCTGATGAAAAGCACAATATGAGATATGGCACTTACTTGAGTGATCTGTTTCAACCATCAAGACTAGGTACAAAGAATAAGCACTGAATGCCACCTGCAAAGAAGCATCTGAAGTCGTCACACCCTCTTAGATATCCTTCAGACAGTTTATACACCTGATGTTGTTCTGGCAGTTCATCAGGTCAAAGGGAGTTGAACTGAATCTCAAGATGTTGTCTTGCTTTCTTTGAGGGTTACCCAGTTTTTGTAAGAATGACCATGAGCCATTTTAAAACTAACTTTGGGAAGCAATCCATAAGCCTTAAAGAGCTTTTTCCTTTACTTAAGAAATATAAATGAATATAAATTTGATATGAATGAAACAGAGGGCTGTTGTAAGATTTCCAAGATAAGTTTAGATTACTTTTATTCTAGTGGTTTACTCAAATGTTTTATTTGTTTATATGAGTAATTAGAGCTGAACCAATAAGATGTGTACATTTCACAAACAGGAGTGAAATGGTTGCTGAATAAATGTGTTTATTCTTTGTGACTGATCCTAGTGGTTGACACACAATGACACTGTATTTTGTACTGTTGGTAAAAAGTTCCCCTTTTTTACTTATCTAAAACCAGTGTTGCCATTTTATAAAATATCTTAATCAAACTGTTTGGACTAGGAAAGCTGCTCTTAGATAAGAATAAAAGGTTCTGCTTGCACGCAGAACACATTTTGTACTCTGAATAAGCCTTTCCTGCTGGGTCAGTCCACCAATAGGAATTATATTTTGAGGGACTTACCTTGGACGCCTGTGAAAATGTTTTCTCACTAATCTGTGCTGCCGTGCATCAGGACTTTTGCCATACTTCAGAACCACTTCAACTCAACTCTAACTGTGGAAGTACATTTTTGAACTTTTATGGACTTCTTGTGTGTGACTGAAAATACAGATTGTGCTTTAAATGGATGTGCATGGATGAATTTACTCAAAACAAAACAAAAAATGTACCGAGTATTTTTTTAAAAACAAGTATTGCTTGATTAAGCGCTCTTACTAAACTCTGTGAACCACTTATTTGTAAATAACACATTAGTAAATTTACACTCTCACTTGAGTCTTATGATGTCTAATTTTTAGTTAACGTTGGCCTCTGGTTACCAGCAACGATGATGTCATGTGATTTCTTTAGTGAGCTACATCATTATGGACTTTAAAGGAGTCAAATTACATTAGAATATGTTATATTATTTATAGTATATTAATTAGGATGTCACAGTGCTGCAGTGGGGATCGCCTCACAGTAAGAAGGTTGCTGGTTCGAGCCTCAGCTGGGTCAGTTGGCATTTCTGTTTGCATGTTCTCCCTGTGTTTGTGTGGATTTCCTCCGGGTGCTCAGGTTTCCCCCACAAGTCCAAACACATGCACTATAGGTGAATTAGGTAAGCTAAATTTTCCGTAGTATATGTGTGTGAATGGAAGTGTATGGGTGTTTCCCAGTGATGGGTTGCAGTTGGAAAGGGCATCCGCTGCATAAAACAAGTATGTGGCGACCCCTAATTAATAAAGGGACTAAGCCGAAATAAATGAATGAAAAAATACATTAATTAATATTATATTATATATTACATGAGCACATTTAAATGTGCACATCACCACGTCTAAAACTGAAATTAACCGAGCAGTTCGGAGAGCTTTCTTATTTTTTGCTTTGATTTAACAAAATAAATATTTTTATTAAATATGTCTACATATGACTAAGCATTTGTCTTGTGGATGTGGGCTAAATGGGCAGTCACTAGGTGGCACAAGGTTACAAGGATTTGTAATTTTAAAATTAAATTAAAGACCTAAGACGGGTTCTTATTATTTTTGAGAATTCTGCACAGTTCACGTGTTCCCGGTGTGATCAACACGTGATTTAAATGCATTTCTCCATCATAAACACAAGAGTGACTACTGAAGCTTCTGACGGGCACGTGGTCGGCGACGCGCATAAGTATCCTCGAGAGTGCGCATCGAGCTTGACAGCATAATGCGCGCTCTCGTGTTCCCCCGGATGCGTGTTTACTCAGTCTCCTCTCTCCACCCTTGAAATGAGAGAGGTACGAAGTGGAAGGGACATCGTTTTGCAAGAATATTTCCACCAACGGATAGCCAGGGACGAAGCGCGGAGAGTCAAGGTGTAGCTCAAGGATACATTGATTCCACGCCAAGGTCAATTATCCCTCTCTCTCTAAAAAAAACTTCAGACACGGAGAAATCACGAACCTGTGAGGATGGATCAGGCATACGGGGCTGGAAAGGCAGGCGGCACCTTCGATCCAATTACTTTCTTTCAACAACCGCAGACAATTCTGCGAATAGTATCTTGGGTGAGTGAGATTCTGCTAATTGCATAATTTAAGCGCGAGCCCGAGTGTCATGTGATGACGCGTTAACGCTAGTAAAGCTTTGCCGCCCAAATGCACAATCTCTCGTTAATCTGCACGCTCTCAATTTATTTTTACGGTTTGTATTTCTTTTTTTGTTATTAGTTAACAAAGGCAAATAAAAATAGAGAACAGGGTGATTTAAAAAAATCAATCCTTGAGTAAGCTAAAGCAGTGTCTTCATCGTAATTCTATTATTTAACAAGTTTAAAACATCAGTCATATTTATATTGTATGGCAGTTGATCAATTAAACATGGATATCTTGTATTGTAATATTTCACATTTAAAAATAAATTACATCTATTTGGGATAATTGATGCTGATACATCAATTCCTACAACGGACAATTAAGATTGAAATAAATAAATAAAAAGTTATTATGCAGCTCCTTTGTTAATTTGTTAAATTTATTTTAACTTCATATATTTATTAAGGAAAAAGCATCAATTTCAGGGCTAATTTGAGATTTGAAAAGCTATAGAAATGTGATAATATTCATAAATGTTGTATTAATCTAGCTGGCAATGTTTGCTGTCATGTTAACTAAGCAATCTTTGATCGTTTCCTCAGATCTGGATTGAATCAATTAACTTTTGATTGCTAAATATTTGGCTCCTGCGTGAATGAGCATGCGTGCACTATTTGCTGATAAAAACATTTTGTGTAGAGACACATGGTGAGGGGGTGGTGGGAGATTATAAGAGGGTGGCTGTGGTGGGGGAGGGTGGGCAGGTGTCCGAAGCTCTGATTAAGTCACAACTATGTAATAGGTAATGTCATTTAAGATTCAAATAATTTAACAGCCTGTTTTTGCTGCTATGATGGCTTTGTAATAATATAAACAACAGACTAAGGTCTCGTTGCTCCTTTTATTAAACATATTCATTATAATAATAGATTTATTTTAATCTAATTAAATATATAAAATAATATTTTTTAAGGGGTGGCAAAGTGGGTGGTGCTGTCTCCTCACAGCAAGAAGGTTGCTGGTTTGAGCCTCGGCTGGGTCAGTTGGCATTTCTGTGTGGAGTTTGCATGTTCTCCCCGTGTTTGCGTTGGTTTCCTCAGGGTGCTTTAGTTTCTGCCACAGTCCAAAGACATGCAGTAGAGGTGAATTGGGTAAACTAAATTGTCAGTAGTGTATTTGTGTTGATGATTGTGTATGGATGTTTACCAGTGAAGAATTTCAGTTGGAAGTGCATCCGTTGAGTAAAGCATATGCTGGATAAGTTGGAGGTTCATTGTGGTGACCCCAGATTAATAAAGGGACTAAGCTGAAAAGAAAATTAATGAATTAATGAATGAATGAATATTAGCTTTATTAACAGATTTATTTCGATGTAATTAATTATGTATAATTTTAATTTTATTTTATTTTAAGTTCGTCATTTGAAATTCTTCTGTAATTTTAAGTATTTAATGTTTTTGAATTCATTTTTAAATAGATTTCAGTTTTTATTTTAATTTATTAGTTTATTACATTTATTTATACATTTATTTTAATTATCACCATTTTAGTCAGAGGGAAATCAAGACATAACCCTTTTGATCTTCTCAGTTTGTGTGTTTTTTATATTATTATTAATTTCACAGTTGTTTAGCACAGATAAGTTTTGTTTCATAATTACAGAAATGTCCACTATGGTAATTATTTATAAATTGAAATTAGTAATTACTATTAGCAATTAGTAAATATCTTGAGTTTTTAAAAACTAAGTCTTTAAAACGTGTTTGCAGTTTTTGCCGCCTAATCACTTATATTTGGCAAGGCAACATTTAAAAGTTAAAATCTTTTCATAATTAAAAGGCATGACAAAAGTTTTTCATTTTAAAAGAGAACAGTTTCATGCTAAGTTTATAAAATCTAATTTAATTTTATTGCCCCTTTAGTTCAATTAGCATGTTGTTTTTAAGTTAACAACACTGATACAAATATAAAATTTAATAGTTTAATAAAAGATTACAAATGTTTAAACATTTAAGTAATTATAAACAACTGGAAAACTCATGGAAATTCTATGTTTAAAGGTGTGGTATACTTTTATTAAATAAACGTGACAAAACATGACATTGTTTAGGAGCTTTAATTATATCACAGATCCATGTTAGCAGGTAAGAATGTAATAATTACTTAAATGTGTTTCCTCTGAGCATCCTGAGTTCAGTAGTGTGAGTTTAAGGTGAGATTTCTGTTTGAGGCGAGTTAATGAGACAACCAACTGTTGCTTTGGCATTATGCTAGTGGGTACATGTGCAGTTTCAAGATGGAAAGAAGGTGTTTGTCGGATTCATACTCTGATTGGCTGAGTGATGCTGCTGCGTTGGCATGACAACTATCTGAGACCACAGACTGAATACCAACACGCTCACAATGAGAAAAATAGATAAACAGAAAGGCACTAATGGGATTGTCTCTGGAATTTTTCTGAACCATTCAGGTATCCTGTGTCATATATACACTCACGTACACACTGACTGTAAAGCTTAGTGCTCAAATCCCAAAAATTTTCATTTATTCATTCGTTTGTTCGTTCATTCATTCATTCATTCATTCATTCATTTATTAATTTGTTAATTTTCTTAATTATTGATGAATCTTAATGAATTTAAATAATCAAGGGTCACCACAGCGGAATGAACTGCCCACTTATCCAGCATATGTTTTAAGCAGCGGATGCCCTTCCAGCTGCAACCCAACTTTGGAAAACACCCATACACTTTTGCATTCACAGTCATATACTACGGCCAATTTAGCTTATTCAATTCACCTACAGCAATTGTGTTCGTTCTGTCGAGGAAATCGGAGCACTTGGAGAAAACCCACGCGAAAACGAGAGAACATGTAAACTCCACACAGAAATGCCAACTGACCAAGCTGAGGCTCGAACTAGCAACCTTCTTGCTGTGAGGCGATCGTGCTACCCACTGTGCCAGCATGACACCCATCAGACCTTTTTTTATCAATTAATTAATACATTTTTTTTTTTGCATACCTATTTACATCGTTGTTTTAAATGTGGCCAAAATCAGATTTCCAGTGTGAACTGATCTTGGTCCTAAAGTGACCCACATTCACCCACAGTCTTTGCAGGCAATGGCTGTGCATTTTGTGAACTATAAATTGTTTTGCTAATTATTTAGCATAGTGCTAATTAGGACTGTGCAATTAATTGTAATCGAATCGCAATCATGATATGAAACGCTACGATTAGCTAATCGCAAAAGGCTGCTATATGAAATATACGTAATGTCTAACTTCCCCCACCCAGAGCAAATGCGGTACAGTCTTGTGTGACAGTCTTACTAGCCAATTAAGTAAGCAAACTTTCGTTCTGCCCAATCAGAATTGCGGAAAGCCCACAATAAAACAAACAAGCTGGATGATGGCGCCTGCATTAATAGAAAAAATTCATATCAAAGAAAAACAGCATGTCAGTAATATGGGAATATCTTAGTTTCAAAGTAGCAGATACCAAACAAAAACATTTCATTTGTAAGAGCTGTTGCGAATTGTTGCCACAGGAGGAGGAAATACAACAACCAGCACCTAAAAAAGCACCACAGGTGGCTATATGAGGCTAAAAAGTCAACTAAAAGTATTGCTAATGACACTCAATCTAGTAGCCAGCAAAAGCAAAGTACAATTTGAGAGTTCTTTGTAGCTGTTACACCATATAAAAAAAACCTCATGAAGGCAGCAGGAGATGACTAACACCATAACTCCAGCTGTTTGCTCTAGTGAAAAAATTGTGTTTAATTTCTAAATATTTATAAATAAATTTGAAGAAAAAAAGGTTCTTTACTTCTTTTTTTTTCTTTTTTGAGCTTCTAAAAGAAAATACATATATAACTTACACAATCTCTCATACAGAAAGAGACTTAAACATCTTGCATACACTGTAAAATCCGTAATTTTACATTTGATTTCTGGCAGCTGGGGTGCTGGAAAAAGGGTAAAATAAAGGCCAATAAAATTACAGAAATTTACTGTAAAATAACAGGTTGAATTACAGAAATTTAAATTGAAGGAAATTTCTGTAATTTAAGGTCCGTTATTTTAAGGTAAATTTCTGTCATTTAACAGCCGCTATTTTACAATTTTTTTCAATGGTTATTTCCCAGCTGCCGGAAATAAACTGTAAAATTACGGATTTTTTTTACAGTGTATGCTTTGTATTTTCTTCCTTTAAACAACAACTATAAACCGTAAAACATGGGGAGCTACAAATCCTTTAAAAGATCTCCTTTAAAGAAGAAAATATGTATATTTAGACACATTTTTATTACATTTTACAATTTTATTACTTTTAAAAGTTACATTTCAAGAAAAATCTGGGCAAATTGGTGAAATATACTCAATCCATTTACTCCAAATTAGTTTTCCGTCTGTATTTTTTCCATGACATATAGTGTGCACTGTATCATTCCATTCTTCAATTATAGCTGACTCTAGTTTTAACCAATGTGTTTGTAATTACTTTTTTACTAGTTGCCAGAATAAATAACTGTTTTTTGTCATCTATATTTATATTGCCTAAATAGAAGATTCACAAGTGAAAGCAATATCTACTTCAAAAATGGCATCTAAATGTATTTTTATCTCTTTCCAATAAGGTAATCATGTTTCAACCATAGTTTTAAGTTATACAATGTTTAACTATATATTTTTGTCAGTTTAATTGATGCGAGTTGAGATTTGATTTCAGTAAGAAATTTAAGGCAGCAAGATTTTTATTTACAGTGTAGGAATAAGCAGTTTATTATTTCCCCCTAGTCACCAAACTGTATTCAGTCAGCATCTAAAAATCCAAATTTAGTATCTCAACAACTAGTTCAGTCCAAAATAATTCATTCAGTTTGAACCAAAAATCAATTCAAAAGACCTGACCCAAAAGCATGGTTTGTTCTTAATGACAGAATTCTTCATTATAATATTTTAAC